ACATCGTGGCTATTTCTTTAGGATCAGATTCTCAGAATTACAATGAACTGAATTAAAGACATTTTACACCTCATGGATTGTTGTTTTTTAAAAAGAGTTCATATCGTCCTTTACTTAATTACACCCTTAAGCCCACGCTATGGATTCAACAAAGACTTTACTAGCATGTCTGAAAATTGTACAAGGTTAATATGAAAGAGAAAACTGCAGGCATGAAGTAACACTACAGAATGATCTAGTTGGTGATTTGACACTGGTGTTAGGAATTTGATAGCTTTTTGGGGGGTCGAGCCTGGTTGAGTACCTAGATTTCTATTTAGAGCTGTTCTCTGGGCTCCTTGCTTTAGGCCAACAGAGGCTTCAAACTCAGGTGGGCATGACAATTATCTGGTAAGTGCTGGACACCCCTAGTCATGCCTGTTGAGCCTGGAGTGATTCAAGGGGATTCTCAGAGTTGTTTTTAGTTATATCTTAATTTGTTTAAAACCTGGGGAGTTAGTCCATTATCTCCAAAGACCCACTAAGTTCTTTCTTTCCCCAGCTCTCTGACCACACACCTGCTTCCATTCTCACCTGCTCTGGAACTACTTGCTCCTAAGGACGTTTTCAACAACAACCACTATGTGCCTACTCCAGAGCCTTGACACACGCTCTCCATTCTTTTTAGGATGTCCTTCTCCACGAGAGCCACTTGACTCAGTGCCTTTACTCAGGCCTCATACAGATAGCCTGATATCACAGAGCCCTCCGTAACCCCTGGTCACTCACACTCCCCTGTTGTTGTTGTTATTGTTAAATGCCAGTTCCAACCCATAGCGACCTGTATAGGATTTCCAAGGAGCGGCTGGTGAGCTTGAACCCCCAAGCTTGAACTTGAAGTTCAAACCCACCTTGAGGTGCAGCGCATTAACCCACAGCACCACACCAAGACTCTCCTAACCCTGCTTCATTCCCCTGTGGCTCCTCTCACCACCTCAAGTCTGATGTATTCATTTGTGAGCTGCTTGCTTTTCTAACTGGAGTGAAGTTTCCAGAGCACAGGATCTTCATGGTTCATGTCCATTGCTCAGTCGCCTTGGATTAGAACATTGCTCCGCCCCAAAGCAGGCACTCGGTAAATATTCACTGAATGAATGAACAAGTGGGTGTATGTGTACACTTCCGGTTGGGCATTAATTTGAGTCATTCCAAGGAAGATACATGTTACTATGTTTCCATTTGTTTCCTAATAATGTTGTTCTTGTTGTTGTTAGGTGCCCTCCAGTCTAGTCAGTTCCCATTCATAGCAACCCTGAGTAGAGTTTCTGAGGCTGTTAATCTTGACAGGACCAGAAAGTTTCATCTTTCTCCTGTGGTGAGTTTGAACTGCTAACCTGTGATTAGCAGTCCTTTGGTTATTGTACAGCACCACCAACATAACAAGGAGCTCTGGTAGTGTAGTGGTTACGAGTTGGGCTGCTAACTTCATGGTCAGCGGTTCGAAACTACCAGTGGTTCCATGGAAGAAAGATGAGGCTTTCTGCTCCCGTAAAGACTTGCAGCCTTGGAAACCCTGTACAGGGTCACTATGGGTCGGAACCCACTCCACGGTACTTAACAACAACAACATGACAGAGTAGAACTGCTTCCAAAGGATTTTTTTGGCAGTAATGTTTACGCTTACCCTTTGGGCTACAAACTGCAGGGTCAGAAGTTCGGATCTATTAGCTGCTCCACAGGAAAGAGATGAGGCTTTCTGCTCCCAAAAATATTTACTGCCTCAGTCACTATGAGTCAGAGCCATTCCATGGCCCACCACCACTACCACTACCAATGTGTGTGGAAGCAGATCTCCAGGTCTTTCTTCCTAGGAGCTGCCTGGGTGGTTTCAAACCACCAACATTTCATTTAGTTGCTGCACGCTTCAGGGTTGCACCACCAGAACTGTTTTCAGTAGCACTTATCCCTTGTGGTTATTTGGGTGATGGATTTCTATATCATGTTACGACAAATCATTGTCACAGTGTGCTATTAGTTTCATATTTGTTGGTATGAGCATAATCAGATCATCGTTAACAACGGGGCAGGCCTTGAAAAAGAGGCTGTGAGGAGGCCACAGGGGCCCTGAGGAGGCGGGGCCCTGGCTTTGGAGGTGTGGCTTAGTCTTTGTTCATGACGTTGATTATATGTGCGTGTCTGAAGCCCACGTAGTAAATGGCACAAGCTGGTTGAGCCTCTTTCTCAGTTACTGGCACTTCCCTATGTCACAGGGCAGTACCTAGGGTCCCTTCAAAGCCAGAGATGTCCAAATTAGGCTGTGCTTTTCAAAGTAGTTAAGTATAGCATCATTTACCTTGGGCACCAAAAAACCAAAACCAGTTACCATCGAGCTGACTCTGACTCATGGAGACCCCATGTGTGTCATTGAAGAACTGTGCTCTGTAGCATCTTCAATGGCTAATTTTTCAAAAGTGTTTCACCAGGCCTATCTTCCGTGATACTTCTGGGTAGACTCAAACCTTCAACATTTTGGTTAGCAACCAAGTGTGTTGACTGTTTGCAACATTGAGGGACTCCAGCTTGGGCACAAGAAAGAAATAAACTCAGGGACCGTATGTTAACTTCTCTTTTACACCAGATGGAAAACATGGTTTCCAAAATGTTAGTAAAGACGTTAGAGGGAAGCTGACACTCGGTTAACATCAGCATTGTTAATTATTAAGAATTGTGTACTGCAGACCTTAGACACATTGTTGTTTGTTGTTGTTAGGTGCCATCGAGTCGGTACAGACCCATAGCGACCTTATGCACAGCAGAACGAAACACTGCCCAATCCTGGACTAACCTCACTACTGATTGTCACGCTTGAGTCCATCGATGCTGCCACTTGGCCAATCCATCTCGTTGTGGGTCTTCCTCTTTTTCTCTGACCCTCCACGTTACCAAACATGATATCGTTCTCCAGTGACTGTTCCCTCCTGACAATATGTCTGAAGTATGAGAGACAAAGTTTGGCCATCTTGGCCTGAAGGAGCACTCTGGCTGCACTTCTTTCAAAACGGATCTGTTGGTTCTTTTGGCAGCCCATGGCACTGTCAGTATTCTCCTCCAACACCATAACTCCAAAGCATCAATTCTTCTACGGTCTTCCTTATTCTCTGTCCAGCTTTCACATGCATATGAGATTATTAAAAATACTATGGCTTGGGTGAGGCGCATTTTAGTCCTCAAGCTGACATCTTTTTTCTTCAACATTTTAAAAAGCTCTTGTGCAGCAGATTTGCTTAATGCAATACGTCGTTTGACCTCTTGACTGCTGCTTCCATGAGTGTTGATAGTTGATCCAAGAAGAATGAGGTCCTTGACAACTTCAATCTTTTCTCCGTTGATAAGAAAGTTGTTGTTTATTGGTCCAGTGGTGAGGACACATTATGATGAGCAAATTACGTCAGTCACAAAAGACAAATAGTGTATGATCCTACTTAATGAACTATCTAGAATAGGCAATTGTCAAGAAGCCAAAGTCTGTTAGTTGTTACCAAGGGTGAGAGAGAAAGGAGAAGGAAAACATTGCCTTAAGGGTGATGGAAAAGACTGAAAACAGATACTTGGGGGTTTCAACAAGTTCTTGAAAAAAAAGGAATTAGAAGATAATAGATTTTTTCCCATGAGCTTTCTTAAGCCACTCGTAGTAGTTTTGGAGTCCTGGTGTGGTGCTGTAGGACAATGCACTGGACCTCAAGGTTGGCGGTTCAAACCACCAACCACTCCTTGGAAACCCTATACAGGGTCACTGTGAGTCGGAACCAAATCAATGGCACTTAACAACAAAAACAATATTGGTGACGGTTACTTGTAATGAGCACAATCGATGTCACTGAATTGTGCCTGTAGAAATATTTTGAAATGTCAAATGTTTTGTTATATATTTTCACCACAATTTTAAAACATAACAAATGTTTACAATTAAAAAAAAAAAAAGAATTTTAGACTTTCTGTTTTTAACAAAGCTGTCTTGGCCAGGAAGGAGCCCTGGTCATGCAGTGGTTCAAGCTTTTGGCTGCTAACTGAAAGGTTGGAGGTTCAAACACACTAGCCACTCTATAGGAAAAAGTTGTGGCAATCTGCTTGGGTCAGATTACAGAGATGGAAACCTTACGGGGAAGTTCTGTTCTGTCCTATATGGTCTTTGTGAATTGGAATCTACTCAGTGGCAATGGATTTGGACACATAGAAGGCGGTAATGGTGGTGGTGTGCTGTGGAGTCAGTTCCGACTCATAGTGACCTTGTAGAGGGTTTCTGAAGCTGTAAATCTTTACAGGAGCAGAAAGGCTTATCTTTCTCCCACAGAATGGCTGGTAGTTTCAAACTGCTGACCTTGAGGTTAGCAGCCTGACTCGTAACCACTATGCTACCAGAGCTCCGTAAGACACAGATCATATACAAATTAGCTCTCTCTCATGGTTATCTGAGGTCTTGTGTGGCGCTGTAGGCTAATGTGCTGGACTGCAAAGTCAGTTTGAACTGCTAGGTCAGCAGTTCCAGCTCACCAGTCGCTCCTTGGAAACCCTACACAGGGTGGCTATGGGTCAGAACTGACTCAGTGGCACTTAACAACAACAACGTGGCTATCTAGTACAGGCCACAGGTGAATGGTTTTCACAAACAAATTTATTTTCTTGGCGTTTAGGTAGCTGGAAATCTGAAACTTGGTCTGTGGCTTTAGGGAAAGGCTCTTTCTGTCAGCTCTGGAGGGAGATCCTTGTTTCTTGGTGGTCTTCATGTGGTGTGGCATCTATCCTCCTGCTTCTGTGCTTGCGTCTTTGCCTAATGGGCTCTTTGTATATCAGAAGTGATTGGTTCATGACATACCCAACATTAATATAGCTTCTTAACAAAACCCATTCCCTGATGGGATTTTATTCACAGGTAGAAGGGTTAGGGCTCACAACACAGACAGTTTCAGCCAAAGCACTCTTTTAGGGGAATGGCTCTGACGGCCTCTTTATTGTTCCTCCAGGTCCACCACATACCGCTCCAAGGGCTTCGGGGTCACCGTGAAGTACACCCAAGGGAGCTGGACAGGCTTCGTGGGAGAGGACGTCGTCACTATACCAAAAGGTTTCAACAGTTCTTTCCTCGTCAATGTTGCCACTATTTTTGAATCAGAGAATTTCTTTTTGCCTGGCATTAAATGGAATGGAATACTTGGACTTGCTTATGCTACCCTAGCCAAGGTAAGGCGAATCCACTAAGTAAATCACTTGACATGGACAAGATTCTGAAACACAGCAATAAAGAGGCTGACAAGTATGTCCCTGTCTGCCGCTGGAGACAGATAGATATTTAACAATCACTGAGTCACATGTGGGAAAGTAAACCAGGATTCCCACAATTAATTTGTTGCTAAGCATGTGTTGATTTAAGGAAACAGCACTATTTAGTAAACCTTCTTGCAAGATAGACTAATAACATGACTTTAAATCTTTTTATTTAATTATGTATTTAAAAATATTAACAGAGTTCTGATTATGGTGTTTGTTTAAGGGTTTTCATTGTAACTTTTATTGTTGTTGTTAAGACCCATAGCGACCCTGTATAGGGTTTCCGAGGAGTAGCTGGTGAGCTTGAACCGCCAACGTCGCAGTTCAAACGGCTTTGCAGTCTGGCCCATTAACCCACAGCGCCACCCAGGACTCTGTGACTTTTATTAGTTACTGTCAAAGTTGGTTCCCAACTCAAGGCATCCCCATATGCAATAGAAGGAGGTACTGTCTGTCTCTACGTCATCCTCGTGACTGATTGCGTATCAGACCAGTATGGTACATAGGGTTTTCATTGTCTGATTTTTTTGTTGTTGTTTTTATGAGATTGGATTGTGTTTTAGGTGAAAGTTGACACAGCAAATTAGGTTCCCATTTAGCAGTTTTTATTCCATGACATAGGGGACATTTTTCATGTGTCAGCATCCTCAGTTCAATTTTCATTTCTATTTGTTCTGTTTCCATTAGTATGTTTTCTCTGCCCCTCCTTACTTATTCATCTTTACTTTAGGGTTAATGTTTACCATTTGGCCTCATATAGTTGGTTATCTAAGGGAGCACAGTTCTTGTGGGTGCTATTGTTTATTTTATATGTCCATCTATAAGTTGTCTGAAAGGTGACATCTGGGAGTGGCTTCATTTCCAAGAAATCTAGGGTGATCGTCTCCAAATTGCCTTTCATCTTTATTGGTCCAATAAATCTGACACATTTTTAGGATTTGAATTTCATTCTACATTTTTCTCGATTCTATTCAGAAACTTCTTTTGTGCCCTTACCCAGAATAGTCAGTATTGATAGCGGGGTGCCAATCTAGTTCGTCAGGTCTCAGACTGGATGAAGTTGTGGCTCATGTGAACTTTTAGTCCTGTGGGCTAGTTTCTTTTCTGGGGCCTTGGTTTCCGGTATTCTCCTTTGCTCCAGATGACTAGAGATCAAGAGTTGTATCTTAGATGCCCACTCAAAAGATTTCAAGACTCCAGATGCTATTCACCAAGCTAGAATGTAGAACATTATCTTTATGAACTAATATTTAGGTATTTAGCTATATATATAGAAAACCTCCATAACCGTGCCCACTATGTGCTGTATTATATATATGCTAACACATTCACATATATACATACAAGGGCGCTTCAGAAAGTTCCTGGACCAAGGGAATCAAAACTTTTGAAGCCCTTTGTACATATACCAACAGATATACCTATACATGGACTCCTGGTGTAGGGCTGTAGCATCAGCAGTGGATTGCAAACCACAGGGTCGGCAGTTCAAACCCATCAGCTGCTCCTCAGAAACCCTGTACAGGGTTGCTATGAGTCAGAACTGACTTGAGATTGCTTAACAACACGATCACCACCTATATATGCTCATGCATGGGCTCATGTATGCCTTCTTATACACATATATGCATACATATCTATGTAACCACACACATATTTTTTGGTTATTAATTACCATTGTTTTCAGGAGCCTTGTTGGCACCATGATTAAAGCACTCACCAGCTAAAGAAAAGGTTGGTGGCTCAAACATACCAGCTACTTGGTAACAATTTACAGCCTTGGAAACTCTATATTGCAGTTTTACTCTTTCGTATAGGATCACTAAATCAACTCAGTGGCAGTGGATTTGGTTTGGTTTTTGGACTACTGTTGCTGCAAAATCATACATATTATAGCATTGACTGAAACTGACCCTAATTCTTGTATATTTCCTTGGTGTCTAAATTTACTTGATCAGGCTATGACGACTCCACTCCTTAAATATCACCTTTCTGATCACCAAAAATAACAAGTGGAGCTTGGTGGATAAGGTTGGTAAGTGCTGGGTACACTATAGGATAAGCATTGGACTGCTGTGAACCAGAAGGTTGGTAGTTCGAACCCACCAGCTGCTCTGTGAGAGAAAGATGAGACTTTCTGCTCCCGCAAAGATTTAAAGCCTCAGAAACCTTTTGCAGGGCCGTTATGAATCATAACTGCCCAGAAGGCACTTAACAAACAACAACGACAACTATTTACAGAGTTATTATCCCTCCTTCCCTTTCCATACCCGGTAACCATCCCCCCCCCCATCAAAAAAGCACTGCTTGTTGTGTGTATACTTATTCTTGACATTTTTAGAAAAGTGAGATCATAGAATATTTGTCCTTTTATAATATTGGCTGATTTTTTTTGCCATTTATAATTATATTATTTATTGGTGCAGGGGTGAGGATTTTTCTTTTCTTTTTGTTTTTCTTGTTATTTTTTAAAGTTTTTATTGTGAATTATGTGGATTTACATGGAAGAACATCAGTTTTACATTCATCCTATCATATTTCATTTCATTGCAATGATTACAGTCCCCTCCATGCATCGTCAAACAACATAGATGACCCAGGCCTTTGTTCTGGAGTTTCTCTTAGGGTAGGCTTAAAAGGAAACAATCATTTATGAAACCATGAATGTGCATGAGAAGAGACTGACCTGGACCTGGACCTGGACTTGGACATTGGCAGGTAGTGATGCCCTCAGCCAGACTAGGAATACCTTGTGTTGCTTCCCCTTCACTCCTGAACTTCCCCAAGGAGGCACTTGGGACATGGTATGGACACCCCAGAACTTCTGGCCACTGTAAAGAATGATGAGCCAACAAGAAAGTTTGGAATCTCTGCTCTAATCAGCATTAGAACCTTCCCCAAATGGGGAAAGGCAGAATCTAATGTTTTCAAAATACCTTTACTTGGGGCTGACCTAAAGGATTCATGTTTAGGTGCAGGAGGGGGAGGTTGACTCTCTTGTTGGCAGGGGAATTTACACCAGGTAGGGTTTCCAGAGATGGATTACATACCAACTAGGGTGGGTCCCTGGGTTCTTTGAGACTGGGTCAGTTTGTGTACACTGGAGGAGAACAGAAAGAGGTGACCTTTCTTGGCCCTGTAATTGGGCACCACACCTTGGCCTAGCATTGTTCAGTTTTAGGCTGTGAGCCAGAGCTGAATGTTGAAGAAAAAATAAGCGTGGTTGTAGGGGCAACAGGCCTAGTGATAACTGAGCTTCCTTTGATCTGTGGGATTTAGAAAAAATGACCTGCCTTCCCACTTTGTGAGAATATTTGTTCCAGTTCCAGTTTATTAACAAATGAGTCTGGAGAGGGGGGTTGTCAGCCCTGTGTCCTCACAAGGACAAAGAATAACAATTACTGAGAGCCTCCTAGGCACTAGGGAGCCCCTGGTTAACACCCTGGGCTTCTAACAGAAAAGTTAGCAGTTCTAGTCTACTCAGATGAAACGTTTTGTGATTAACTTCCAAAGATTAGTCATTGACAACCCTGTGGACCATCGTTCTACTCTGACATGCATGGGGTCACCATGAGATAGAATCAGCTCACAGTAACTGGCTGGTGTTCATTAAGCTCGAGACTGGAAACTACAGTTTATCAGTGAGGTATCTTTTGTAAGGCTGTTATCATTCTCATTTTAGAGATGTGGAGACTGAGGGTCAGAAAGGTTTACTGTCTTGTACAGGTCATTCTGGACAAGTCCTGCATACACTTCCCATTCTGTGTCCATGGAACCTGGCCAGACAATGAGCCCTTTTTCCTTGATGCCTTAGGATAACTGTAATCTGGGATTTGAAGACTGACAGCAACTTCCTCCTGGTGTGGTGCTGTCAGATAAGCACTGGACTGTGAACTACAAGGTTGACAGTTCAAACCCACCAACTGTTCCTCAGAATTCCTGTGTAGGGTTACTGTGAGTCAGAATCAACTCTACAGCACTCAACAATAGCAACAATAATTTAAATAGTTTACAGCCCTAAGTATAATAAATTATAGCCCTGAATATGTCTTCACTGGCATTTGCGACCTCAAGCAAAATGTTTAGTCTTGATGACTGTTTGGAAGTGGAAGATATGAGTATACTTGAGTTTATGCTAATTATTCAGAAGAGGAAAGAATAAAGCTAAATGATCTGGAATTTGTCATATGGAAAGCTTCTGTGGGTACAAACTGCTTTCAGGGTATTTGAATGTCAGCGTCCTCAGATAGCCCTTGATCATTTGATCTATGAAAATTTCAAGTTTACTAACAGTTGGCTTCACATTACCATGTTTGGAGATATAGTAACAGAATTTGGGAGAAGATGATTACAACTGGAATTGGATTGGCAGGGAACCTCAGAGTGGTCTGGGTTAGTTTCAAAAGTAGTTCAGAAACAGTTGGGCCAAGCAATCAGTGACTGTCATAGTGGCCTTTGGTCAGTGACAGCTGTTTAGTGCTAAGGCTGTACATCAGAACCACCTGTGGGGCTTCCACCTCATGGATGCCCAGGCCCACAACAGACCTACTGAACTACATCTTCTTACAGTTGGTCCTGAGCAACCATTTGACGAGGCTTCAAAAGTTTATGAGAAAAGTCCATTATCTTCTGTTAGTCCATGAACAGTTTGAAGCCACCTTATTTTATATGTGCTGCAAGATAATGCACTAGACCAAAAGGTCAGTTTTAACTGCAGTGTTGGTGGGTTCAAACTCACCAGTCACACTCAGAAACTCTATACAAGGTCACTATGAATTAGAACCAACTCAACGGCACTTAACAACAACAACAACAACATATATTGTTGTTTATATTACAAGGGGTCAACAAGGGGACACTAAATGGTTTAAAATTAGGAAAGGTGTGTGCCAGGGTTGTATTCTTTTACCATA